GCATACACACACACACACGCACACACACGCACACACACACACATGCATACCCATACATACACACACACACACATACACACATACATTCAGACACACATACATATACACATACAGGAACCGCCAACTCAAGGCAGTTTGTTAAGTCGTTTATGTACACTAGGCACAGCACAAGTTATCAAACGTGAGCCAGATAACTTTTCATTAACTTGGCACTTTTGACTTCGATTACTTAAGTACGACTGGAACCACACAAGGGCATTTCGGCCAAGTCCATAGTTTTGCAGTTTACGTATAATTATTAATGATTAATTGTGTCGAAGGCCTTCTTAAGGTCGATAGATATAACACCGTTTATATGACCTTTGTCAATATTAATTGACCAATCATTTGTAGCTCGAAGTAAAGCTGCCACTGTGCTATGAAGTGACCGGAATCCCGATTGGCAGTTAGTTAACAGCTCGTTTTTATTCAAGTATGCATAGCTGCTCGTAAATAATCTTTTCGAAAATTTTAAATGTTAGAATTAGAATATACAGTCATATACAGCGTCTTTATTTAGTTTAAATGACTAATCGAAGCGCAAAACCTCATACTAACTTGACTTTATAGCCGGCATCGATTTATAGAATGTTCAAGTAGTAGTAATAACTAGAAGTGAATGTAAGCCTCGCCCCATGTAAGGGAATCCGGAATCCAGAATCCACGAAAGTTTAGGCTTTGGAATCCGGAATCCAGCACTCTGGATTCCGGAATTCAGTTTATAATGGAATCCGGAATCCACCCATTTGGAATCCAGAATCCGCACCAAAAGTTTTGGAATCCGGAATCCAGACCCTTGGAATCCGTAGTCAAGTCAAGTCAAGTTTATTTCACACACAAAATTACAATACAAAAATATAGGAATAATTAGATAGAGTTGAACAGTTATGAAAAATACAGGATAAATATTTACAAAGCGAGATCACGTTTAGTGTGTATGGCTGTTGAAAAAGTATAAACTATCGAGTCAACAGCCATCCATTATCAAGTATTAAGAGAATGACCAAGATAAGTAATCCAGAGTCTCGGCCGGAATCCGGAATCCAGCGCTTGGAATCCGGAATCCACCATAGTTTCGGTTTCCTTTACATGGGGCGAGAAGCCAGTAAACGTTTTGGCTTGGAAGGGAAGGAATTCAGCAGGAGTTCGTTGAAAGGAAGGAGCGCTAGTACTTGGGGAGAGACGAAGAGAGAGGGGGGAAAAAGAACACCGGAAGACTGATGGAAGAAGAAGAATTATAACTATGAAAATTAGAGAAAGAAACCACCGCAACTGGAGAGAGAATAACGGAGTCGCGACTTTTTCTAGCCGAACTAAGCAAAATGCAACTTGACCTCGTCATCTAGCGGCGACAGACCGTCTACGAAATAATTGCTAAAAACTGAACTGAAGTTCGGCGGACTATGTTTATGCCCTGTTTATTGGCGTTCTCAATAGTGCAATTGTTAAACGTCTTGTCAAAGTTAACTGCACATGCTTTCGCCTGACCTCCAAAAAGAGGAGAATAGAGTTTTTTGTTTTAGCGGCACTGRCACAAACTATTCCAACTGTAAAATAAGATATTTTGTCTTAACATTAACATTACCTTATTGTTTAAATTCCAATCTTAAAACATTAGATTGACAAAATTGATTTGTTCTGCTTGGTTGGTTTATAATCATCATAGTAGAGAGATTGGTTTAGCGCGTCAGCGAAAAGAAAAGTTGTATATAATAATACCATGATCACCTCGGAATCTATTGTTTTTGGAGGGACGTTTAATGACTAACATCCCTCCTTTATGAATAGCATGAGAGAAAATTAGTTCTAATACTCCCTCATTAATTATGGATGAGGGAGTATTAGAACTATAATACTCCC